AGCCAGCCAGCACTGATGCCCACATGCTGGAGGGCCTGATGAGGCCCTGGACTGACACCCCAACTCTTCTCATCTGCCTGATCCTCTGCACCATCCTCACTGCTCTCTAACTCTATAGCAGCCTCTTGACTCTGGTGAGGAAAGGACGTCTTTACGTCTCCTTACAACTGGCTCCTCAGCCAGTGGTCAACTCCACTCCAGGGGAAGCCTCTATTGGTTCCTGACCTGGTCACTGCAGTCTGAGTATGCATCTGCTGGACTTGAGACCCCTTAGGTCTTAAGACTTTAAATCTAGCTCTGAAGCTCAGCATTCAGAGGGAATGTCTGTAATGGGTCTGTCGTGATGAAGTGTGTTCACAGTGCTTAGAGTTAACTTAGAATGGTTTGCTTTGAGTTGATGATGTCTATTGCAGTGCCCAGCATTAAGGATTGCATTCCTTAGACTAAGAACCTATAGAGTGAAATTGTATTAGGTGATTCGAGTGAATAAAACATCGAAGGGGCAAAAGCGCGTGGAAATTCTTTATCTTTCCCCTCAACTGCAGATGTTGCACTTTGCCCATTGCAACAGATGACAAAGTGGCGGGTGTTCTCTCTCAGTAGTGGTCCATCCCCTACGCTGGGGGCAGGTACTTTAGTTAGGCTCCACGGGCTCCTTGGAAGATCCTCCTCGCAGTCTTGCTGGCCAGGACACCGGTCCCACTGAGGGCCGGGAACATGTCCTCCTTGTCTGCCAGGCTGAGCCCCTTCAGCAGCGAGAGCTGCAGCTGCTGCTGGTCTTCGGTGGTGGCAAGTGGGGTGCTGACCAAGAGCATGGTGGTGGCAGTGGCAGACATCGAGATGGCAGTGAACAAAGTGGCCAAGTGGAGCCCAGAGCCTCTTCTTCACTTTTGAGGATAGTTTTTATGGATATAAAATTCTTGGTTGATTTTTTTTTTTTTTTTGGCATTTTACTATATCAACTCACTGCCTTCTGAGTTTCATGGTTTCTGCTGGAAAATAATCTGTTACTTTTATTAATGAATGCTTGTATAAAAAGTTGCTTCTCTCTTTGTTTTGACTTTTGACAGTTTGCTTATAATGTGCTTGAGTGTGGATCTCTGTGTTTACCTCCTTGGTATTTGTTGAGCTTCTTGGATGTGTGGATTCATGTATTTTATCAAATTTGGGTAGTTCTGGCTATTATATTTTCAAATATTCCCTTTTTGGCTGGGGGGTAAACTGGGGATTGAACACGGGGGCACTGGGCCATTGAGCCACATCCCCAGCCCTATTTTATTTACAGACAGGGTCTCATTGAGTTGCTTAGTGCCTCGCTTTTGCTGAGGCTCGTTTTGAACTTTCGATCCTCCTGTCTCAGCCTCCTGAGCTGCTGGGTGATAGACCCAGCCTGATTTTCTCTTAAAATTGGGAGCCATCTCGCCACAAAGCCATGAAAAGATAATTTCAGCTTTACTATAAGCTACTGTAAATTCTGAACCTGCTTGGAATGCCTGCCTGTGCCTTGAACTCACCCATGCCTGGCTCTCTGACCAGATAGCAGCCCTCTCTAAACTTTAGTGACCCCTCACAAATCTTGGCCTTCCCTTGCCAGATAACGACCCTCTCTGAGGCTCTAATGACCTTCATAAATTCTGATGTCGGGGCCAGCAAAAATGTAAACTACCATTTGTGTTATGCTCGTCAGAGTTTTGTCATCTGTAACCCGCCTTTGTATAACTTTCTGGGCTATAAAGCAGGGCTGCAAGAAAGCTGTGGGGCTGTCTTGTTCCCGCGGTTTTTGTGGGGAGAGGCAGCCCGGCCGGTTGAAATAATAAGCTTGCTTTAATTTGATTTTAATTGGAGTCAGTGGTCTTTTCTTGTGTCCTGGTCCAACACTGGGATTTCAGGTGTGGCCCAATAGCTCTTACTCACTTTTTTAGCATTTCTTTGGAGGGATGGGCACTTACAGCCTATTCATATTTAGCCTTGTGGAACCAGTTTCCTCTTCTTAAAATGGGGATAGTAGTTGAAGGATATGGAAAATAAGTCCAAGGACATCTTCCCTAAGCTTTTGTCATTTAAAATCCCAGACCCAGGCGTAGTGGCACACTCCTGTAAGCCTGTAATCCCAGCAGCTCAGGAGGCTGAGGAAGGGATCATGAGTCCAAAGCCAACCTGAGCGCAAAAAGCAAGGCACTAAGCTATCAGTGAGACCCTGTCTCTAAATAAAGTACAAAAAAGGGTTGGGGATGAGGCTCAGTGGTTGAGTGCCCCTGAGTTCAATCCCCAGTACTCAAAAAATAAAGTCCCAGGCCTCAGCTAAAGTGCAGGAACACAAAAGGAACTCGACCTGACTGGCACCTGACCCCTCACCCTAAAGGGTCAGCTGACCCCAGTACAATAACCCCCAGGAAACTCCCTATTCACATTCCTGTCCCACCCTAATGGATCAGCAAGACCCCAATACAACAGACCCCAGGAATTGCCCTCCTGTCCCACCCTAAATGAAGCCTATATAAACCAGACCCTTGCTTCTGCCTGACGCCACTTTCTGCCCTGAAAATGAGACTCACAAGGTTCCACCAATTGACTCTGCAGCTGAATCTTGAATAAAGAAAAGCTTGAGGTTTGCTTCCCTTCTCCCAAATAAGATGTTGTTTCCAGCTAAAACTTAAAAAGAAATATTAAAAGAGAGAGAGAGAGAGAGAGAGAGAGAGAGAGAGAGAGAGAGAGAAACCCTGAGGAGAAAGAAAGAGCAGAACAGGATGCCAATTGGCTCCATCTTGATATCATGGCAACTCCAATGACTGCAAAGCAGGGCCCTGTTCTGTCATGCCAAAGATGGCCCCTGTGACCGGTTCCTTCTAATGTACCAGTGGCCTCAAGACCCATACCTCTCCCCTTCGCATTGTGGCTTCATTCTCCCAAGAGAGAGGAGGAGATTGGTTCCTCTCACCAGGAAAGCTGGACCAGGCTACCTCACAGGCTGCTGGCCAGCCAATGGGTGGCTTCTCTGGCTCAGAACTCACCCCTGGTCCAATCAGCTGAGAGAGGCCATTCTCATTCAAACCTGGGACAGAGACTGATGCCGGGAGGCCTGCTGGCAATGTGTAGCATGAGCAGAGCTGTGGTGTGAAATGCTTCTTGTGTAGATGAATTCTAACCAGGGCTCATAACAGAGCAACTTGAGGGTGAGGACTGCACTTCAATGTCTGAGTCCCTTCACTGAGTGGCTCCATCCCCTCCTCAGAGACCCCTCCAAGGATTTGCTGATGGAAACTGGCTGCTCTAAGGGAGTCTCAGGCTATTGGCAAAGCCATATCAGGACCTGGGAGGTGGCAATACCTGGGGACTCGACATCAGGAGAGGGACAAACAGGTGTAGCCCATCAGCCCAAAACTTAGAAGGAAAACTTGGGCTGGGTCTAGGGGAAAGAGGACGGGAAGATGGAATTCCAGGTTGTGAAGGATGCCTGTGGTGTGATTGTGCTCTTTCTGGGGCCCATCCTCCACTGCTCAGCCCTACCTTGGTCTTGGTCCAGGTGTTGGGTGACCTCTGTGGTTTTCATGGATCTGCCTGGCATGCCAGAGGGGGTTGCCTTCTTCCCTGCTTATCTCAGAGGGTACAGCTAAGCCTAGTACTCTTTACCAAAGACTCTGGGGACTCCAGCTCCTGTTTTCCCCGGGATCATGAGTCTGAGCTCTAGCTATGACCTCATTCCAGGATTCCACACTTGAGTATCAAATGTCCACTGCTTCTAAATAAAGGACTGAATTTGAACCCAGGACACCTGACCAGCCTATGTGTACTTAACCATGGGACTAAATGGCCTCTGTAGGGGCAGCTGCTCTCCTGTGTCCATCCTCCTCTCTGCAAGTTGCTGCTCAGGCCTCATCTCTGCCTCCCTGGGCTGCAGAAATAGCCTCAGCCAAGGACTGCAGGAATAGCCTCAGCCAAGGACTGCAGGAATAGCCTCAGACAAGGACTCTCCTTGTCCCTTTTCTGTGATTCACTGTCCACACGCAGCCACCGGGGAGTCGTTCCGGTAGAGGGCTTCAGGGTTGCTTTTCCTTGATTGAAATACGAAGTTCAGATGCTTTGACTTTGTACAAAAGGCCCTTCATCCTCTCTCCTAACCCTCCCTCACCCCCTAGGAACCATCATCAGAAGTCCCCACAGTGTACTCCATGCTCACGCCTCCCACCTAGCACCCCTGATGGAGGTGCCCCTACTCCACCTCAGTAACTCACCCCTCAGTGCCCAGCTGGAAAACACTGCCTCCAGAATGCTTGCCCTGACCTCTCAGGTGGGATCCATGGCTCCCTCTCCTGGACTCCTGTATCACATGCTCTCACAGGCCTTAATACAAATTACACTCTGTTTCCCATGGCCTTGGCAGTGGGGGCTGCATCCCCTGGATTCCAGGGTCTCCAGACCCAGGGCCTGGCCCAGGGCAGGTGTCTGTGAACAGTGGTCAGAGGAATGAACCCTCACTTGGGGTCTGGCCTGTGGTTTCTGGGCAGGTGCCCCATGCTGTCTCAGCACGTGATACATGGCAGGTGGGCAGGAAATGCTTGTTCTTTTCTGGGCTGGGCAGTTGGTGCAGACGTGTGAAGATGAAGCCAGCACTTCATTCTGAGAACTGGCTGTGTTGTCAAAGCCCTTTGGGGGCTGACTGCCTCTCTCAGGATACATTTCTAAGGAGAAGCCCTGGCCTGGCAGAGGATGCAGATGAGAGCCAGGGCTAATGGCAGGGGACAGCTGTCTGTCCAGCAGGTGCTCCTCTCAGGAGGAAAATACAGGGCTCCTGCTCCTTATAGGGCCAAACACCCTTGTCTGTCATGTGGCTCAGAGGAACCAAAACAGGGATGCATACCAACACCAATCCCTGTCCCTCTCAGGGCTTGTCATTTTACTTGTCAAGTAGGTACAATCATTCCCACCCCACTGAGCTCACTGCAGCCAACTGCACACAGAGCCAGCTGCACTTTGAAAATAAAGACTCCATGAGTGCATCATACAAATGAACAGGTTGTAATTAGACCCAGGAGCCCGGGGCAGAGGGAGAAACAGGGCAAAAGCCAGAGTATGTGCTTAGGGCTCCTGTCCCAAGTCCCTTGAGGAAAAGAAGCACGTGGTGGGCAGGAGGGACAGCACCTTCATGGAGGAGGGAGATGGGGGCTGTGTCCCAGCTCTACCATGGGCCGGTCACTTCCCCATGGGACTTGGTTTCCTCACCTGTACAGTAAGGGAGACATAGTCCCTGGCCAGTTCCTTCCAAGGGCTTTAATGAGGCTTAGTGAAGGAGTGGGTGTGGAAGAGCTCTTCACAATGGAAAGCCCACTGTATGCAAGCAGGCTAACTGCTCTTCTTGAAGCCAGGCCCGGTTGGGTTCTGGGAAGTGGGGATAGTAAATGTTGGCCAAGAAAAATACTGTATTAACTGGGCATGGTGGCGCAAACCTGTAATCCCAGCAACTTGGGAGCCTGAGGCAGGAGGACCCTCAGCAACTTAACAAGACCCTGTTTCAAAATAAAAAATAAAAACGGCTGGGGACGTAGTTCAATGATGTCTCTGAGTTTAATCCCCAGTACAAAACAAAAACACTGAGGACCAGGTACGGTGGCACCCACCTGTAATTCTAGTGGCTCGGGAGGCTGAGGCAGGAGGATTGTGAGTTCAAAGCCAGCCTCAGCAAAAAGCAAGGTGCTAAGCAACTCAGTGAGACCCTGTCTCTAAATAAATAAAATACAAAATAGGGCTGGGGATGTGGCTCAGTGGCTGAGTGCCCCTGAGTTCAATCCCTGGTACCAAAAAGAAAAAACAAAACAAAAACAACAACAACAAAAAACCACTGAGGCTCAGAGCCGGGTCCTTTGAGTACCCTCAGATCCTCACTCAGCACCTCTTCCTTCATGCTCCCTTCAACTTCCCTGGCACCTTTTGCCCTGCGTGGGAGAGAGGACTATTGGGTGGCTGGGGCCCAGGACAAGGAAGAGCCCCTGCTCTGGGTTGGCCCCACCTCCCACTTTGATTGGAGGTCCAGGCTGCATCAGCTGCACCTGCAGCCAGGCCTGCTGGCAGTTCTGCTCCGGGGTCAGCAGGTGTGAGTTCTTGATTAACAGATGCAGTCTTGATGGTGGGGGAGGACCTTGGTCTTCACCCTCTTTTCCTTGATTGCCATCTTCTCAATGTGGTCTTCTGTGTGTCTAGATGAAGTCCGTTCTCTGTGAGGTGTAGAATGATCGGTGGTGGATTCTTTCTTGCAGAACCCCAAGTAGCCAGCAGCCAGGGATGGAGAGTGGCTTCTGCTGCCTCCTGCACCTGCAGCCAAGAGCCTGCCCAGCAGAGGCCTGAGCCCAGCCTGTCATCCCTTCTGGGCTGGGTCTCAGCTCCCAGAGATGTGCTGAGAAGAGGGCTGCCAGGAGCCCTGACGGGCCTTTCAGAGCAGTGCCTTGAAGAGGAAGGAGAGGGAGGCTCCGCAGGAGAGTCCCAGGGCCAGGAAGAAGGTCATGAGGGCGCCAGCCACCTCCCTCTCATGTGGCAACACCTGCCTGGAACACAGAGGAATAGAAGCTCTTAGAAAATGCCAGGCCCAAACCCCGGAGTAGCCCTGTGGTTCCCCGCCTGCCCCTACACAAGACACCTGAATTCCAGTCTGTGTCTGACCCCATTCCTGTGTTTAGTTTCCCTATATGTAAAATAGGGCCACTGAACAGACACCTTTCAGGGCCTTTGGGTTCCAACATTATAGGATTCTAGATCTCATGGCCTTCCTTCTTGACAAAATGCCCACCAGCTTGTTCTCCATGTCACCTGACTCGCCTGAGATTCCCAACTCCCCTGCCCCTAGAGGAAACAGCCCATGAGCTTTGCTTTAGAAAAAAACCTTAGCTCCCTTTTAAATGAGAATCTCTGCACTAAATGGGCTCTAAGGAAGGACAGTCCAACCCATTTATTTATTTAAGGGGAAACTGAGGCCATCCCAGAGGCCCCAGAACCAGTGCCTAGGCTATGTAGGCAGGTACCTTCCAGCCAGAGGCCAGCTCAGCAGTGAAGGCCTGACCCACAGGGTGGCGCCAGTGAGGCGTGGACACAGCCAGCAGGCGGCCAGCTCCCTCCCTTGCAGCTGTCCCTCCTCAAAAAGCCAAGCCCCCTCCCCACCCCAGCACCTGCCCCCAGACCTAGGCGCCAGGCACATGGTGAGGGACACCAGGTAGCCATTGGAAACGGCGAAGAGCAGCATGAAGGTGATGAAGTAGGCGTCCTGAGGGAAGAGGATGGGCAGCCGGGCCCGCTCAGGCACGTGGCACAGCATGAAGAGTGGCACGAACAGGAAGCGCAGGCACACCAGCAGGGGCAGCAGCCGGCTGTCCTCATCTGGCTGTGGCACAGGCTCAGTGAGTGCTTCCCCAGGACACCCATGAGAGACCCATCAACCATCCCCCGAACTCCTCTGCCGTGACCTAGGACTGGGGCCTCTAAGGAACAAGGACTGGGCCACGGCCGCCCAGCAACCAGGACAGGCCTGGGGCTAGCCTTGGCCTCTCCCTAGCTCTAGTTTGGGCTTTCTCCAGGGAAGAATTGAAGAGGCCTTAGAAAGCATCCCTGGCTTCCAAACTTAGTTCCCCAGGGCATCCCTAGGGGTTCCATATGCTCCTTAGGGGCAGATGGCTTTCTTTTCCTTTAAATTTATTTTATTTTTAAAAAATTTTGAGTTGTAGATGGACACAATCCTTTTTTTTCTATTTTATTTTTATGTGCTGCTGAAGATCGAACCCAGTGCCTTACACACGTGCTAGGCAAGTGCTCTACCACTGAGCTATAGCCCTAGCCCTCTTTTCCTTTTAGTTTTTTAATTGGCACATAAAAGTTGCACATACTTATGGGGTACCATGTGATGTTTCAATTAGGTACACTTCTAGCATTCAAATTGGTGAGCATATCTGTCTCTTCAAGCATTTATCATTTCTTTTTTTTTAATTTTATTTATTTTTTAGTTATCGGCGGACACAACATCTTTGTTTGCATGTGGTGCTGAGGACTGAACCCGGGCCGCACACATGCCAGGTGAGCGCGCTACCGCTTGAGCCACATTCCCAGCCCCGCATTTATCATTTCTTGGTGGTAAAACCATTCAAAATCCTGTCTCCTAGCTTTTACAAAGTATATAGTACATTATCATCATCTATAGCCACCCCGCTGTGCAACAGAACCCCACAACATATTTTTCCTATCCAAATATAACTTAGTACTCAACATATGACCTCTTCCAGATGGGGTTTCTTAGTAGGATGGGAAGCTGGAGATCCGGGCCCATCCTGCCTGGATTGGACAGCAATGCTCTGCTGCATTTCTAATGTCTCTAAGGGAGATTTCACTTAGCACCTTGCTAGAAGCAATTTGGAAACAAGGAATCTTGTTCAACCCCTCACCAGGTATAGGAAACTCCACATGATATTCTCTGAACACGGAGGGCTGGGCCCTGGGCTGGACACTGTGGACACAGAGGTCAACTCTGGATGGCTTCCACTTTCGAGAAGCTCAGCCCAGGCTTGCATGTGCCAGAGGCCAAGCGCTTACTGCTGCTTGGCAGGCTCTTTCACTGCAGACCAACAGGACTACTAGAAAGTCACTTTTTGCAATTTCATGCCCTCTGGCCGCCCCCAACTGCTTCCTATAAATTGGCAGCTTGTCCAGCCCAGCTGTGCTCACCCACAGGAAGTATGAGGTCAAGCTCCGCCCCAGCCAGTCCATGACGTTGAAGAGCAGGAAGCAGCAGATAGGGTTGAAGAACTGACCTGGGGGAGACAAAGGGTGGCTCACCCTGGTCCCTGACTCTCCTCTCCTGTCTCCCCCTATCATTTTCTTTACCCCAACACTCACTCCATTTCCCAGGACTGGTGGAGCTGGTCACCATGGCTGTGATGGCAGGGAAGACCGACAGAGTGACTGTGAAGACCAACACAAGGCACAGCGCCGTCAGCCAGATCTGGGAGCCGGAGGCAGGGGTGTGAGCGGGCAGGGCAGCCCCGGCCCAACATGGCCCCAACCTTCTCACCCCAGCCCTGCCCGGGTGCAGGACACCAGGGGCCTGGCCCAGTTGTGTCCATGACCTGCCATGACCCTATGACAAGTGGGATATGAAGACCCCATTCTAGCCTAAGAGCATCTGGTGAGGACTGGAGAGGGTGTCCCACCCTTCTTCCCCAGGAGTGGTGGCTGGGGGACATCTCCCAGCTGTACCTTCTGGAAGACAATGAAGACTGAAGGTTTTTCTAGCTTCTGGGGCTCATCTAGCTCTGGTTCCAGCTCGGGCTCCTTCTCAGGGTCAAGATCTAGAGTCAGAGTTGCCACCTGGGGGCTGTTGGGAATCCCATTCTTCTCATCTGGGGCAAGAAGGGAGTGTGGGGTCATGTGATCTAGGTCTCCCAACAGTCAGCCCTGAAGGAGGAGGATTCCCAGCAGTTAAAACAAGTGACCCTTCTCCAGCCCAGGGTACCAGCAAAGGGAAGCAATGGTGTCAGTATGCCACCTGTTTATTAAGCCCATGTATGTGCCAGGCAACAAGTTAAGTGTCTCAGATGAGTTGTCCCATTGCCTGCCATTGTTTTGCAAATGAACAAACAGGCTGGAGGAGTGAAGTGGTTTGGTGACTTTTCTAAGGCCACTCGGCTTAGGTATTGTGAAGCCAGGATTCAGAGCTCGCCTGCAAGAAGCTCCGCTGCCTTCCCATTTTTGTTTTTGTTTTTGGTACTGGGGAGTGAACCCCGGAGCACTTTAGCACTGACTTATGTCCCCAACCTTTCTCTTGAGTCAGGGTCTCACTAAGTTGCTTAGGGCCTTGCTAAGTTGCTGAGGCTGGCCTTGAACTCAGCCTCTTCATTTTAAAGAGCAGACAACTGAGGCCCAAAGAGCAGCAAGGCATGACTTTAATTTCAGACTTCCCTTTGAGATCTTCCTGTGCTCACCCAAGGCTTTGGAGCAGGTCATGGTGGTGCACACCTACAATCCCAGCGGCTGGGGAGGGTGAGGCAGCAGGTTTCAAAGTTTGAGACCAGCCTCAGCAATGTAGCAAGACCCTGTCTCAAAGTAAAAGCAGGGCTGGGGATGTGTTCAGTAGTTAAGCACTGCTGGGGTCAATTTCTGGTACCAAAAATTGAAAAAAAAAAAAAAAAAGCGAGAGAGTACAAAAGGCTCCTAGGAGCCAGGTTTAGTTAGGGACAGCGTGGAACACTTCCAGCAGAGCTGGCTCATGCTTCCTCTGGGTATCCCACCTCCTCAGCGAGGTCCTGGGGCTTACCAGCCTGGAGGAGCTCAGCTTTGGTCTCTAGCTCGTGAGTTGGGGACCGTGAGGGCTTCTTGGCCAGGTAGTAGCGGGCAAACTCCTGCAGAAGGATGGAGAGTATCGGGACGGCTAGGTGAGGTGTTTGGATCCCTCCCCACACCACTGGCTTGGAGGCCAGGACACCCCAGTGACTGGACATGGGTCTCTTCTGCCTCCCCTGTGCTCTCCCAGAGCCTCACTCGGGGCTCTGAGATGCCCTGAGATGGGCCCTGGAACCCAATGGCAGACTCACCAGGTGTGGTAGGCTCAGGTAACACACGATGGACATGAGGATGCCCACACAGGGTGTGATGAAATATCCCAGGGCAGAGGTCTGGGCATCCACACCACCTGCAGAGGAGAAGGGGCTGGTTCTGCAGCTCCCATGTAGCCTCTAACTCCTGTCCTCCTTCCTAGAGTGCACTTCTCAGATGCCCAGCCTCTTCCCTTTTCCTTCACTGACTGAGTCTCATATGATGCCCCAGTCTGGCCCTTCATCCCTCTCTTTTCTCTACATGCCATTTAATATTTTATTAGTTGTTGATGGACCTTTGTTTTTATTTATTTATATGCGGTGCTGAGAATCAAACCCAGTGCCTCACACATGCTAGGCAAGCGCTCTACCACTGAGCCACAACCCTGGCCCTCTACATGCCATTTTTGTTGAGCATCTACTATGTGGCTTTCTCTTACTGCAGGCTCAGTACAATCTCAGCAGGAATTGTAATAATCATTTATGTGGGGAAATTATGGCAGAGAGGTTAAATGCCCCGTCCAATGTGCCCAGCTAGTAAAGGCTGAGATGGATTAAAGCTTGTATCTGTCTCAAACCTACGCCCTGTCCCTTAACCTCAATCTGCTGGCACATATCAGGGTTGACCCCAGGACCCCCTTCCTGGTCATTCTCCCTCACTGCAGAGCCCAAGGGTCTGGCTCCCAGGCCCAATCCCCACTTCTCCATTACTCCATCACCTCTGTCTCCACCAAAAATCCAGGCACCTTCTGCACACCCTCTGTGATCCCAAACCTCAGAGGCCACCCCACACCTCCAGCAATCCAAGTCCACTCACTGGCCATGGACATAAGCATGGCAAGGGCAGCGAAGATCCCAGCCAGGCCCTGGCCGCTGAGGAAGAGGGTGCTGTAGGTGGATGGCATGGTGCCCAGCTGCCCGAAGAGGCTTCCCTGCAGAACTGCACAAAAGGCTGAGGAGAGACAGGGACATGGCTGCCGCTCAATAAGGCAGCCTTAGGGGCTTCTTGGAGGAGGCCTTGGCAGAGCGCAGGGGGACTCTGGACTTGGCTGTACTGGGGTGAGCTGTCCTTGGGACTCTGGACATTTTGCTGCAACATCCCATTCATTCCTCTTCTGAAGCAACCACTGGCCTGTGGGGCTAGGTGCCAGGAGGCCAGCTCCAAGGTCACTGTGGGGCCTGGGACAAAGGGGTTTTCCTCTCCCTCTGGGCCTCAGTTTCCCCATTAGAGATCAGTGGTGCTGTCTTATCTTCTTGCATCTCTTGGGCCCTTTCTGTTACAGGGAGGAGGCAGGGGTGGGGGGCAGAAGTGCTCACAGTTGATGAACCAGACAGAGACCATGGTGATGGAGAAAAAGGGCCCAGGGCTCATGTCCACCTTCACCAACGCTGCTGTCAGGGCGAAGAGCAGCAGGATGCCCAGCAGGCTGCCCAGAATGCGTACCGCCTCAGGAATGCTACTCGGAAAGGGATAGAGAGCATCAGGTGGGCCCTGGCCAGGCAGGGGGTGATGGGCAAGAGGTGCTGCCAGGGGCAGGACAGTGGGGCTGGGAGGGCCAGGCAGGTGGAGCAGGGGAAGGATGGAAGGTCTTCCTGGGCCCAGATGATAGGTACTGCCTTGGCAGGAGATGGGTCTCACCACTGATACAGGAAGGAGTTGAGGAGTGTGAAGAGCAGCAGAGGCAGCTGGGACAGCAGCGTCACCCAGTTGTTGAAGTTGAAGGTGTCTGTGGGGCCAGTGTGGTTGGTGCTCAGGGTCCCAGCTGTGCTGTTGGCCCCTGCCAGCCGCCCCTGAAAGTACTGCCAGATGGGGAGGAGGAGTAAGGTTAGGCATCCCTAGTCTGTCCCTTTGCCTCCTCCCAGGTGTGTGATTGCTTGGCTAATGCTTTGGGGACTACTTGCCTTATCCCTGCATTGTCCCCAGCACCTGGAACACAGTGGAAACTCTATGGTTATGCCCTAAATTGAATGGCTGGCATATGGAACAGGGCCCAAGCACTAAGAACCCCCAGCTCAAGCCTCCACGCATCTCTGGATCACCCTGATCTTTAGTCTCTAGTCCCCCCACAGCAGTCTCTAGATTCATTCATTCCGTGGGTATTTACTGAGTATCTACAGAAGTCAGGCTCTGGCTTAGGTGCTGACCCACTGCTTTCTCCCTGGAACATATATCCTGTTACTTCTCTGCTTAAGCGCCATTTACCTTCTACCCACACCTTCGTATTATGTACAGGGTAAACCCCAAGAGTTTGGAACAATATTTAGGACCCTGCAATATCAGATCCCACCCTCCCTTTTGTGTCCCATCTCTCACTCCATCCCACTAAGCACCAGCACCCCAGGTTCTGGATCTTTCTCTGAATAGGCCCTTGTCTCTGTAAGGAATGCCCTCTTTCCTCCTGACCACTCCTCCATCCCCCAACTTTGCCTACCCCACACTCAACTTGTAAATCCTCTGTGTTCTCCCTCCCCTGAGAACCACAGCACTCTGATCCAAGCCTGGGAAGGCCCCTGTCACCTTACATTATTAATGGCTCTGACCCATCTTATTCTCAAGACCAGAGACTGATTCATCTTTGGGCCTCTGGGGTCCAGCACAGAGCACATCTGCAAAGTTACTGCACTGAATATAATAACCCAGGCTTAAAAAGAATGCAAAGTCCACACTTCCGCCTTCCTTTCAGAGAACCAACACTGAGGATAGACTCTCCCTCTGGTATGGTTTCTCTTTATTCCTAGTGGCTGGTCCACGTAGGAGCACATTAAATGTTTGCCTAATGTAATTAATTCTATTGTAAAGAAAATCAGAGGCTTGGATTACCCACTTTTGGAGTGACTGGACCAGAAATAACGACAGAGGAGGTGGGTGTGTAGCTCTTTTGCTGGTCCTAGACCCTCCCCCCGCCCCGAGCTGGTGGGCATTCCCCAAAGTTTGGACTTCTCAGCCATGAGAGAGGTATTTCCGTTCTCCGAGGCGCCGTGCTTCGGCGAGCCAATGGGCATAGTGAGGAGTTTAAGGCAGCATGGGGAAAAAGCGCTCGGTGAGCCTCAGTCCGGGGCGGCTGGAGGGATGGAGGGTGTTGTGGCCACCGGGCTGTCTCACCGGGATGGCGGTGATGAAGAAGTTCCAGGGAAGGAGGGTGCCCAGCCCCAGGATGAAGAAGCTGATCCCGACCAGGTGGTAGCTGTGGAGATCAGTGAGAAGGTCACCCCAAGGCCTCCTGCCTGGCCGCCTCCCCGCGCCTCCCAGGCCGTCCTCCGGAGAGCGTACTACAACCCCCATCACCCCCGCGCAGCAGCCGAGGGAGTCGGCTGATGGGAATTGTAGTCCAATCCATCTTCTACGAACCCCGGCGTGTCTAGGGGAGCGGGATTGTTCTGACGACCGCCACCCGGGCCCCAGGACACATGGCACAGGGTTCCCATCTCACCTGTCCTGCGGAGCGTCTCCTCGCGCCATGGCCTTGGCAACGGAATGCACCGGGATGGGAGCGCAGAGGGGAGGCTGCACCCGCTCCTATGCGGGGCCGGAGGCCGGAGGCCGCGGGGACTGGGGGCCGTTGTCCCCGAACCCGAGTGCGGGCTGCTGGAGGTGGGGTGGGAGCTCCAGGAGGATTTCCGCGGGTCTCAATCTCCACCGGCTCGGGCCTTAGCTCCGCCTCCGGGGCGGGGACAGAGGGTCGCACCACCTTCCTCCGCACCCCAAACCTTGGGCTCTTTGGGGGCGTTGTACCGAGTCCTACCTTAGGGTCTCCCTACCGGCCAGCCCACACCACCAGTGTGGCTTGGGGCAGCTGACCCGATGGGTGTCGCCGCCGCACCTCTCCGCAGCCCCCTGCCTTGCCCGCGGGCGTTGGTCCTGGATCCCTGCGTCTAGGGAGGGAAGGAGAGCGTCCCTCCCACTCCCCCGCGGAGAACTCTGCGGTCCCCCTGGACCGGACTTTTCTTCTCTTCGCCGGCTGCAATGCTGCAGAAGCCGCGTTCGCGCCCCCTAACGTTGGGGTGCACCCGGGGCGCCTCTGCAGAGCCCCGTCCCAGTGAAAGATCCACAGATCCCAAACCCGGAATGAACCACACGAGACACTGGCTGCAAAAAGCAGGAGGCGTTTATTCTCACACAGGCGCCTGCGGGTGCGCAGCGTAACCTCAGCCGGAGCTTCGGTGAACTGGCACACCGGGCTTTGGGGTACAGATCTTTTATAGGGAGCAGGTGGGTTAGTTCTTAGCTTAGCACAGCAACAGCCTTTCTATTGGTTCCTCTGAATCCAGCAGTTGGGTCACCTAGGGGGTAAACTTGTTTTTCAACTTTTTGTTCCCGGAAAAACCCTAAAATTGCATCCTGTCCTTTCAGTTCCTGTTTTTACCCTGTTTGCTCAAGTTTGGCCCCTCCGGGGTTATCTATATGGAACATCTTGTGGTGGCATTGTGCAAGACTTGAAATGCTACGTGCAGCTGGTGGGGTTTTGACATGGGGGTTGGGTAAGAGAACTTCTTGCAGCTTCAGGGCACGGGGGTTAGATTTCCTAATGTTGGGCCTGGGGCCCTGGGGTCCTTCACCAGGGCATAACTCGAGCTGGGCCAGCGCGCGGGAAAGCAGGAGCCTTCGCATGTCGCTTGTGGTCCTGGCAGGCTGCGCGGAGTTGGGTCCCCCCGGAGGCCGAGGAGCGGGCTGGATGCCCAAGCTGGCGGAACCCCCAGGCGGATCTGAAAGATAGGCAGACAGACTAGCCTTCTCCAGCAGGTGCCTAGGGAAGCACCCGGCCTTTGGGCCGAACAGCCGAGGTGCTGGCCCTGCTGGGGCGCCGGGGCGGGCTTCCAGGCCGAGGTGAGCTGAGCCGCGCTGGGAGCCGTGAGTGGTTCAGCAGAGGCTGGGAGAGAAGGGTGCCCCGGAAGTGAGCTCCCTCCCCGCGCGCTGTGTGCTTAAATACGTTGCCTTCAGCGGTCTACATCACATCTCATCAAAATGAAGATGCAGCCACACCCCGCTCTTGTTTTCGTGGGAAAACTTTGAAAAGATTCCAAACCATTGCAGTTTCGAAATTGGTTTGCTTGGTCTGTCTCATAATTTATGAATGGGTGTGGTTTCTCTGGGATGCTGGAGAAGCTAGAGGCTCTAAAGCACAGATTGTTTTCATAAGAAACGACATTTTGTAACCATCTCCAGATTACTTGTATTTTTCCTCCAGCCACCTGTGGATCTGTGGGGCAACCACTGTGTTTGTCGGGTTCACGGCTTTATTACTACCATCCTTCCCCCGCCCCCCCCCCTCGTGGCGTGGGATAAATGCTTGGTGACAAATAGATTGGATTGCAGTGTTCTGCAGGGGAGTTTAGGGAGACCGGGGACAGCATTGGATTACACTAAGAGAAAGTTACTCTCTTCAGTTTTCTTCCAAGCTTCCGAATATATCAAAGGGGAAAGTCTCAGTTCACGTTTTTTAGCACCCTCTAAATACTCCCACCACACAGGGACCTCAGGACCTGTCTTAACAATTCTATCTAAATACAAGTTAATAACTTTCATTTTCCTTATATTTATTCTTCTACTTATTTTAGGGCTGAAGTACTGATTTCCTATTTATGACAGTGATATAAAGTTTTCTTTGAAAAAAAATCAGTATATTTATGAAAAATGAATCCTTTAAAGAAAATAAGCGTGACTGCAGATGAGGACAGCTCTGCCCGAGTCTCGAAGGCAGGACGTGAAGAATGGAGTTTTGGGCAGCAGTGCATCTGTGAAGGGAGAGAACAGTCTGTACCAAGATTGGGCACAGGAGACGGCTGATGCATGCTGGGATATATGATAAGTGCCTTTGGATCAGTGCCTTTGGCTGGCGCGTGAGGAGGGAATAGAGCTTGTCCAAAACAGGCTGAAGGCTGAGCGTGGAACTGGGATTCCAGCTCACAGGCTCAGTCACGCTTGTCAAAAGCAATATTTTGTTACTATCCTGCAGTGAATTTGTGAACAGCAAAACCCACCCATGAAAGATTTTCACGTCAATATAATATCCCAAGTGTACAACAGAAGATAAATTTTAAAAAGCCTTTAGGAATAAAATAATATGTATGTGACGCTCAAGACACATGAAGCTGTCAAAACACGTGCCATAGAGGCATGTGCTGAAACCAGTAAAGATCACTAACTTGCTGATGGTGATGTGATATTCTTGAGTCTGGCGCCTTAGACCACTCGGCCATCCTGACAGCTGCAGTGTGATGTGATATTCTGCAATACTGACCAAGTCTTGGCAAAGTTCCAAGCAAAACAAAGAGCAGCTGTCCCTCTACAGAGATAGTAAGTAGCTGAGTTACTGGAAAATGTTGTGTATATTTAACCTTATAAATAATACATTGTGTCCATATGTCAACTGGACTTACAGTCCAGGCTCAGAAAATGATCAACATGGTTTTTTTTTTAAAAAAGAATATATTTTATTTTTAGTGCAGTTTTAGATTTACAGAATACATGAGCAGATACTACAGATTTCCATATATGCACCCCAACCTGCTTTCCTCTATAATTAATGTCTTGTGTTAATTGGATACTTTTGTTACAATTAATGAACCCATATCCATACAGTATTATTCACTAAAGTCTTCTTTCTTTGGGTTGCACTTTATGTGGGTTTGAGAAATGCATAGTGTCTTGGATCCACCATGACAGGGTCCTACAGAATAATTTAACCTTCCTAAAACCTCTTGTGTGTCACTTATTCATCACCCCTTCCTGCCATCCCCTGAGTACCTGGCAACCACTGCTCTTTTTATGTCTCTAAGTTTGGCCTTTCAAAATGTCATATAGTCGGAATCATATAGTATGTAGCCTTTCCAGACTGGCTTCTTTCACTTAAGGCTTCTCTGTCTTTTCTGGCTCAATATTTCGTTTCTCTGTATTACTAAATAATATTCCATTCTGTGGATTACTACAGTTTGTTTATCCACTCTCCTATTTCAGGACATCTTGGTTGCTTCCACTTCTTGGTCATCATAAATAAAACTGCTGTAAACATTTGTGTACAGGTGTGTGTGTGTGTGTGTGTGTGTGTGTGTGTGTGTGACAACATAAGTTTCCAACTCAATTGGGCAAATACCCAAGGGCACTGGGGCTACATCATATAGTAAGATGGTTTAGTTTTGTAAGAATCTGTCAAACTCTTCCAAAGTGGTTGTACCACTTTGTGTCCCCCCTAGCAATGAGACAGTTCTTGTCCCACATCCTCACAGGCTTTTAATGTTGTCTATGTTCTAGGTTTTAGCCATTTTAATAGGTGTGTAGTATTATCTTGTTTTATTGTAAGTGCAATTTTTATTTTTATACTGGGGATTGAAACCAGGGGTGCTTTACCACTGAGCCACATCCCAACCCTTTTTTACATTTTATTTAGAGACAAGGTCTCGCCGAGTTACTTAGGGTCTTCCTAATTTGCTGAGGCTGGCCTTGAACTCATGATCCTCCTGTCTCAGTCTCCAAGCCACTGGGATTACATGCATGCGCCACTGTACCTAGCTTATGTACATTTTTTATTAGTGCATTTTAATGGGTGTCATCATGGAATATTAGTACATGGGGATATAATGCCATTTCCATTACCTTCCTTTACCTTCACCTTTTCCTACCTTGATCCATTTACTCTTTAATAGTCTCTGTTACTTGCATGTCGTCTTTTCCCCATAGATTTCACATGGGGGGGGGGGGAGGAACATGCGATAGTGGTCTGAGTCTGACTTTGTTTGCTTAACATTATGATTTCCAGTTTCATCTATTTTACTATAAATGATTTTCTTCTTTTTTTAAATATTTTTTTAGTTGTAGTTGGACACAATATCTTTATTTTATTTATTTTTATATGGTGCTGATGATGGAACCCAGTGTCTTACATGTGCTAGTTGAGCACTCTACCCCTGAGCTACAACCCCGGCCCCATGATTTTCTTCTTTATGCTGAATAATATTCCATTGTGTATATATACCACATTTTCTTTATCCATTCATCGGTTGAGGAACCTTTACATCATACAACTGTATTCATGTATTTAACATGCAGGAGCCCAGAAATAGGGTACAATTTTTATGTACCAGTTTTTACAAAACGAACAACCCTATTTAAAAACAGGCAAAAGGGAGCCAGATGTGATGGCACATACCTATTTGGGAGAATGAGGCAGGAGGATCACTTGACCCCAGGAGTTTAAGGCCAGCCTGGGAAATATAGCCAGACCTCATTTCTTTAAAAAAATGAAAATGGACCAAAGACCCAAGGGACATTTCATCAAAGAATATCCACAGAGGGCAGTAAGCATGCAAAAAAAGGCTTATCATCATATGTCATTAGGAAATTGCAAGTTAAAACAAGATCTTCGAGAATACAAAAAACAATAAACACTAGCATGGATGTGGGGGGGAAGGAGCCCTCCTCCACTGCTGGTGAGAATGTGAATTAGCACAGACACTATGGAGAGGCGCCTAATGCACTGTGCTGAGATAAACCTGGAGATGCAGGCATTGCCACAGTGTGCTGACTTTAACTCCTTCTGGTGTCGCCCAGGAGGGCTATATCTGCATCCCATGGTGGTTCCAATTTAGTCCCTTGAGGAAACTCCATACTGTTTTCCACGATGTCTGTGCTCTGGCAGCCAGAAAGCAAGGGAGAAGAGGAGTGAGCTGGGACCCAAGATCCCCTTCCAGGGACACCCCCAATTACCTAGCTTCCTCCCACTAGGTCCCACCTCCTAAAGATCCACCACCTTCCAAAAGCACCATGGGCTGGGGACTAGGCCTTTAGCATGTGAGCCTTTCAAGGACGTTCAGAATCCAAACTGTAACACCAAATGATTTTTTGTTTGCTTGTTAATTCAAACTTCATGGAAGTATAATTTGCTTTATTAAAAAATTGACCATTTTTTGAGATTCATTCATAATGATAGATGTTACTATTCATTCATTCACAGTTTAAAAATGTATAATAGTCCACATTTCATGACTCTTGTTGGATGCATGTTGCAGGCACATAGCTCATTTTCAGTTGTATTCTACTATTAGCAATGCTGCTCTGAATGACATGGTGCCCTTGACATATCTATCCTGCACCTGTACAGAATTGTCTATGTACAGGGTCTCTCAACAGCAGCACTATAGACTTTTGGGCCAGGTAATTTTTTGTTGTGAGGATTGTACTGTGAATTGTAGGGTACCCCGGACCATGCAGACGAGATGCCAGTGCCATCTGCATCCAATTATGGCAATCAACAATATCTCCATACATTACTAAATATCCTTTGAGGACAAAATTGCTCCTAAGACTCAAAATTCTCTTTTTAGGACTATTATTGTTGTTTATATGATGCTAGAACCTCAGCATGCCGTGCGAATGCGCTACACTGAGCTACACCCCAGCCCTGAGAACACATTTTGTAACACCATTTTCATGATCCCAAAAGAGATTTGCAGGTAATGTAACCTATCCACACAATTTTTAAAACAAATTCCATAAGTGTGACACAAAGGAAAAAAAATAGAGAAAAGAAATTCATACTAAAATAATACTTTAGTATGCAAATCTTTGGGCACTACTATTCTAAAATGAAGATTTGATGCTTCCATCTGTTTCTCATGAATGCAGTTATGGGTAATAGAATTTGGAAGATCAGAAGTCAAGTTGACAGAAGGAAAAAAGGAAGAGGACAGTGCAATGACCCAGGTGGACTGCAGAGTAAAAAGGCCACAGCTTGCTCTTGCACATGCCTGTAATCCCAGTGGCTCGGGAGGCTGAGGCAGGAGGATTGCAAGTTCAAAGCCACCTTCAGCAAAAACGAGACACTGAGCAACTCAGTGACACCCTGTCTGTAAATAAAATACAAAATAGGGCTGGGGATGTGGCTTAGTTAAGTTCAACCCCTGATACCAAAAAAGTAACTTTAGCCGAACTCTGAATATTGTGCCAAAGTAAATTGTAAGCTGCAAAGTAGAGAAAACGAGAAGCTGTGGTATTTTGTAAATAACTTGAGATTAATTTATAAGTTGAGTGACAAAACCTTTCCTAAGTGATGATAGGGATTTGGGATAGTGATGAAATATCTCAGATGTGACCATTGGGATTTTTTGTTTTCTTTTGCAATGTTGCAGATTGAACCCAGGGTCTCATGCATGCTAAGCAAGCACTCTGCTACTGCACTAAGCTCTTTCTCCAGCCTCTATTTCCTGTTTTTGTTTGATTGTTTTGAGATAGGGTCTCACTATGTTGTCCAGGCTGGTCTTCAACTCATGGGCTCAAATGATCCTGCTGCCTCAGCCTCCTGAGCAGTTGGGACTACAAAGCTGGCCATGTGCCTGGCTCTGTCTCCTGTTTTGAAATCTCCTGTTTTGAAATCTCCTGTTCTGAAATCTCCTGTTTTGCATATCTATGGTATGTAAAAACTTGGAGACTGTTATGTCTTTTGGTACATAAAGAATAGAGGAGTCAGAAAACCAAGCATTCATATATGAAGATGTAGAGTTGGTTAGATTGATTTCTGGGACTAGTATTTAAGATTTCTTTTTTAAATTCCAGGTACTCTCAAAATAAGTAAATATTTTATTATGTATTTTTCATATTGTAGATCATTCTTTCTTTTTCCTATTGCTTATTACATTGTGCTTTAATTCAGTTATGCTCCCGGGGACTATAAACTGACTTGAATGATTTCTTATGGTGAAGGGTCCAAATTTTTGGTCTTTTTCAAGGCTTAGGACTGTGTTTAATCTTTCTTTTTTACTAGATTTGTTAGTTTCTTACCAGAAACAGAGCACCTACCCTCAGTGGCTACCTTCTAATCTATTATAGGTAGGGACAATTAATTACCAACTTGTTATAATTAGGGGTAAAATAAAAATAACTAGGTTAAAAGCAAGGAAGTTTCAAAGTGTGAAATATATATGCTCCAGATTGTCTGTCTCTTTTGATTTTTCAAGGTTAAGAAAATACTAAGTGGTTTTATTTATTTATTTGGTACTGGAGATACTGGTGTGCTTAACCACTGAGCCACATTCCCTAGACTTTTTTTTATACTTTATTTAGAGACCCAGTTTCACTGAGTTGCTTAGGGCTTTGCTAAATTGCTGAGGCTGGCTTTGAACTTGTGATCTTTCTGCCTCAGCCTCCCTAGCCGCTGGGATTACAGGCCTGCGCACCATGCCTGGTTTACTAAGTGGTTTTAGCTGTGTTCTGGACAGCTGAATTTGCCACATGCCACCGGAAAGGAGCTATTGCCAAATCATAAACAAGTGAAGTACTGAAGGTACCACGAGGGTGCCTCTGTGACATAGCCAGGATCTGAGGCTGAGGCTGAGGCTGGAGCTTACTGACACCAGGGCTGTCCTTCACTCTGTGCCTCCCACGTCCTTAGCACAGTTTCACTAACTCTAATACATCCACATTGCAGGTCAGGATTGGGGAAGGCAGCTGCCGTCAGTAAGGGAAGAGAATGGGCTGGAGGGTGTCCTTGGTCCCTACCTGTTCAGATATTCTGCTATATTCTGAATGCTGCTAAGTCTTGTGTGCAGAAGCTGGGGGTCAATCCTACTGCAAAGTGGTTTCCAGAAGTGTGTGGAAGCCCCAGTTAGATGTGACCCCGGGAAGCTTTGAGTTGCTTTCCTCCTAAGCCACTCAGAGGAGCACCGCCCTGCCTCCCCGCCTCCCGGTCATGCAGACCATAGAAGGCATATGGCACAGGCTCTCTGAGCCCTGAGTTTGAGGCTCTGGAATCGTCAGTTTCTGTTTTATTCAGGAATCACTTAATGCAATAAACATAGTTTCTGGATATTGGTGGCTGGAATCATAAAGCCACTCAGTGAGCTCATATCAAATGGGGATGTTATGGGCCAGGCTATGTGGGCTATAAGCAAACAGACTCCATTTTACCCTGAGACTCCGTGTCATGTAAGAAACACTTCTCCCACGAGAAAACTCTGCCTCTGCTGTCCCGATCCTGCTTAGCACATCCTGCTTAGAAACGCAAATGTTTCTGTTCTTCTTATACAATGTAAAATTGCTCTCTTTTTTGGGTTCCCATTTTTCTTGGGCAGGGTACCCTGTCAGAGAATGTTTGTCTAGACCTTAGTAACCATTCTTTAAACTGTACTCAACTAGGGTCATTTTGACCTACTTCTCCTGCTTATGATTTTAGACCTCATGATGTTTGTGTGTAGTTTTAAATCACAGCAACAGCCACTTATGACTAATGTACTGGCATGCTTTAAAAGGTGTGCCCCAACTCCTGGAGGGGGTCGAGGAGCCTTGCAGCTTGCTCTTGCCCCGCCAGCTTGTGCCCCCTCCAGCTGGTAAATAAAGATGGTTTCCTCTCCTACTTTAAGATCCCCTCCACGATTTATTGCAATCTCACCATAGCAGGGACACCGCTGAGAGGAAACCGAGGTTCCTTCCCCTTGCAGCTTCGAGCGTGCACACATGCAGCCTTGGCCTCTTGCCTCAGGCCTTCCTTTCCTGATTTCTCAAGAGGAAGCCAGCACAAGACCATTGCACTAGCAGCAGTCCATGTAGACGCTCAGTTCAAGCACCGAGGAGGAATGGTAAGACCCATTCCTGAGGGGGGGGAAGGGTCTCTCTCTTTCTCTCTATTCTTTTTAGTTATATATGACGGTAGAATTCATTTGATAAAATTATACAAACATAGGCTATATCTTATTCTAATTAGGACTCCATTCTTGTGTGTGGAGTTCTGCTGGGAGCCATTAGCCAAGTAAGTATGACAATTTCCTTGCCAGCGTACCCCATGTTGCAGTGACATTGAATGTACTTAACCTTGCTCAAGGACCAAGGCAGATTAGGGTGTTCCCGGTTTTAAGATAATCTTGTTTAGGGCGTTCCCAGTTTAGGTTCCAGGTTTAAGGTTTAAGATTATTCCTGCTGGGAATAGGGCGTATCCTGCTGCCTGAGTTCCCCTTGAGTTCTCACGGGATTCAGACAATATATTTTGGAGATAGAAGCCCAGTGGAGGTGGATTTGGGCAGAGAACGTGATTTTGGGCAGAGAACGTGGATTTCCCCAGAACGTGATTGTAGACGGCTGGTGTGAGTTCGGGAATAAAGAGTTGCTGTTTGAATCTACAAGCTGTGTGGTGGCTCGTGATTGTGTGCCCAGCCAGACTGCGGCATTTAACTAGGCTTCGAATGATGCAATAAAGCAATCTTTTTTCTGCCATGAAGGTATCTCGACCACCTTCAATTTAACCTTTTAAAGCCTTTTAATTATCATCTATACTGTACTTTTAAATGTACTTTTTCACCACCTACAACTTCACTCTCTTAAACGAGGCTTAGATTCTGTTTAAATCGCTTTAATGTTAGTTTACATGGCTGCCCTTCAACCAAAGGCTTTTTTTTAACTCCATTGAGAAGCTTTGTCTCAATCTGCCATGTACAAATACCTTTTTCTTCTTTCTTCCTTTCTCAAGCTTTTAAAGTAAGTCTAGTTTCCTCAAAATCTTTTTAAATGGCATTTTACAACTTTTTACTTTACCACACAGAGATTATCTCATCTAGAAACATTTCTTTTTCCTTTAACCTTTTATATTATATTTCCACATCTTGAATCTTTTTCTATCTCTTTTTTAACCGTTAACCCTTTTTATAAATTCACATTTTGAAACAACTCTTATAAAATTTCTGATTTAGACAAATTACTCCACTTTAATAAGATGAAAGACTTTCATGTTTTTTATGATACTATAATAATATAATTGAAACCCAACTGAAACTTCTTATACTCTTTGTATATAAATTACACATGATAGAATCTTAACTCTTAGTAACCTTGTTTTAGCAAAGACACAGACACAAAGCAACATTAAACCTTTTTCCATTTACCAATTTATGAAAACACACATAATGTTTAAATATATTACCTTATGGAACTTAATAAGTAAAGAGTACTTGATTTCATATTTAGTGGTTGATATTTTAACACTTTAGCTTTGTAAATTAATCAGATGTCTGTAAAAACCAAGATCTTAGACAAATGTAGTAAACAGAACTAGCCATCTCTTTCTTGAAGAAAAATCCTTCTACAGGATACCATGATGGTCTCATTAATATACTTAATAACTCATCTTTAAAAAGCCATTTGCTACATTTTTGTATTTTATCAACATATGCCTTAACTGTTCTTGGTCTTACTGGGGTGCCTCCTTTCTCTAACAATTTCTCTTCCTCGGAGGCGAACAACTTCAAACCTTGAGTCAACCATTTTCCCCAGTTTGCCTGAGAAAGTTCTAGGAACAGGCAACTTGAAATAAAAACAAAATAAATCAAAACGAGAACACATTGTTTTTTGAATTGGTCACCCATTCTTTCTCTCTTCCTCAAGGGTGAGAAATTTCACTTACCTCTAAGCTTCAGAAGTTCCCCGTACGGGCCGCCAAATGCCGCAGTCTGGCTGGGCACAAATGCCGCAGTCTGGCTGGGCACACAATCACGAGCCACCACACAGCTTGTAGATTCAAACAGCAACTCTTTATTCCAGAACTCACACCAGCCGTCTACAATCACGTTCTGGGGAAATCCACGTTCTCTTCCCAAATCCACCTTCTCTCCCAAATTCACCTCCACTGGGCTTCTATCTCCAAAATATATTGTCTGAATCCCGTGAGAACTCAAGGGGAACTCAGGCAGCAGGATACGCCCTATTCCCAGCAGGAATAATCTTAAACCTTAAACCTGGAACCTAAACTGGGAACGCCCTAAACAAGATTATCTTAAAACCGGGAACACCCTAATCTGCCTTGGTCCTTGAGCAAGGTTAAGTACATTCAATGTCACTGCAACATGGGGTACGCTGGCAAGGAAATTGTCATACTTACTTGGCTAATGGCTCCCAGCAGAGTTCCATCCCTGGGGTCTCTTAATTCTAATTCACAACAGGGAGACTCTTCTTGGTTATTGGGTAACTAATAAACAGCCACTCTGCAAGTCCACTGTGTGCCCTGTTCTGACCAGATGTGTGATGGGGACCAGGGGCCATGACATTAGGGCATCGCCCAGCACCCAGTGCCCAGGGAGTGGTGGCTTGGCTGTGCTAGACATCCCTGCTGTATTTTCTGATGTTGGGCTGCAGACCTCAGCCAGAAAGCTTTTTCTGAACAGGCCCAATGATGGGATGGAAAATCCCAGCTGTGTGATTCTGGGCAAGACACTCCACTTCTCTGACCCAGTTTCAATCAGAATAACAGCATCCAAGTTCTGGCAGCCAGAAGTCCAAAATCCGAGGCATAGACAGGGCTGATTCCTTTTGGAGTCTCTGTCCTGTGCTGCTGGTGACTGAGGGCAGTCCTTGGCTGACGGCCACATCACTCCAACCATGGCCCTGTCTTCGTGTGGCTTTCTCTCCTATGAGTCTCCTTAATGTAGACTCTTACCATTGGGTTTCAAATATGTTAAAACACAACTTTAATAATAATATGGAGTACTTTTAAAGTAACCTTTGTCAATTAAACAATGACATCCCAACATTTTACTTTTTGCTACTAATTAATAATATTTTGTCCCAAGTCTGGTAAAATGAAATTCCCTCAGATTTCCTCCAATATATATTCACCACTGGCTCTGTTGCTTTTGCAGCAACCACGCAGCTGTAAGAGAATTTGAAAGAAGCCTTTGCTAAAAATGCTCTGGCACATGGTTTAGTTCTTGTGAAAGAAGAGAAGAGTCATAGTTGGATCACAAACCTTTCTGAAGTAGATGATGAAATCATGTTTGGAGTTTAAATGTTCTCTTCAGCTCACTTGATGCATATATATGCATTTGCTTTTTAAAGAGCCAACACTGTTGCCTGTGTTGGCCCTGAATCCTGGGTTCAAGTGATCCTCCTGCCTCAGTCTCAGCAGTCGCTGGGACTACAGGCATGTGCCACTGCATTTAACTCTCCTTGTTTAACTGTCTGTATTAATTGTAGAGGGCTTCATCACCCCAACCAGTGCTGCAATTTCATTCTGAGCCTTAAATCTGATCTTTGTGTCTTTTAAAATTGTGTCCAAAATAGAAACTCTTAAATTCCTACAAAAGTGGAAACTGGAAGTTCTCTACAAACATGACACTATAAAGTGGGATTGGCCTCCGATTTTAGCAGGTTAGTTTTTATTTGTTTTTTAAGTTAACAAGCTTTATTTATTTATTTATTTTTTAATATTTATTTTTCAGTTTTCGGTGGACACAACATCTTTGTTTGTATGTGGTGCTGAGGATCGAACCTGGGCTGCATGCATCCCAGGCGAGCGTGCTACCTCTTGAGCCACATCCCCAACCCCACAAGCTTTATTTTTTAGAGCAATTTTGGGTTCAACACAAAATTGAAAAGTACAGAGAATTCCCATGTACCTCTGCCTGGCACATGTACCACCTCTTCCATTACTGACATCCTGTACAATTAAACAATGTGCAAGACTGGCACATTATTACAGTCCACGAACCTACACAGACACATAATTATCACTCAAAGTCTATAGTTTATATTAGAGTTCACTCTTGGTGGTATACATTCTATGAGGTTTATTTTTTTGTTTCTTTTTAAATTTTTTAGTTATATAGGTGGAAACAATATCTTATTTTTTATTTTTATGTGGTGCTGAGGATCGAACCCAGTGCCTCACGCATGGTAGGCAAGTGCTCTACCTCTGAGCCACACCCCATCCCTCCTATTTTTTGTTTCTGGTTTTCATGCTGGGGACTGAACCCAGGGCCTCCTGCATGCTAGGCAACCAATCCCTCTACCACTGAGCTCCTCCCACCCCTGTTGTATTACATTGATGTATTTGTTCTTTCATCAATACCACCTGTGGTTACTGAAGCTATATTAGGTTATGAACCTGGGTCATGTCAGTTCTCTGCCTTTGTTCTTCAATATTGTATTGACTGTTCCGAGTCTTTTGCCTCTCTATCTAAACTTAAGAACTAGTCTGCTGCTATCCCAGAATAATATCCTGGAATTTTTATCAGCATTTCATTGGATCTGTAGAACAAGTTGAGAAGAAGGGATGTATTAACAATGCCGAGTCTTAATCATGAACATAGAATACCCCCATCCCAGGCAGCAGGAGATTATCTAACTTTTTGTTCTTAACCAAACTGTAGCTGAAATATGATATCTTAGTGTAGTTTTAATTGGCATTTGTCTTTTGTTGTGGTTAAGCAACTTTTAATAGGTTAAAGTATATGAAGTTGTCATTTTTATAAGTCAAAATTGACAATTTTGTATAGTTCAAAGTAACATATTTGTTAGTACTGGTGCGCAACGGTAATCTCAGCTACTCAGGAGGCTGAGGCAGGAAGATGGCAAGTTTGAGGCCAGCCTGGGCAATAATAAACCCTGTCTCAAATAAAAATCAAAAGGGCTGGGGAGGTAGCTCAGTGGTAGAGAGCTTGCCCAGAATGCTTGAGGCCTGAGTTTGATCTCCAGCACCACAAAAACCAAAAACATTAGTATATTTAAGAGCCGCTTTACTCAGAGCAGTTTTTGTTCTTTGCTTATTTTTCTACCAGGTTGTTGGTCTTTTTTCTTTCTTCTTCTTAATAATGAATAGTAGGAGATATTTATATTTTATGCAAACTAAACTTCTGTGTGTCATTTGAATTGTGAATTTTTCTAGTTTGTCATTTAATTTTGCCAATGGTAGTTTTTTTAAAAATATTTTTTTAATTGATGGACCTTTATTTATCTTTCTGAGGTGCTGAGGATTGAACCCAGTGCCTCACACATGCTAGGCAAACACTCTACCACTGAGCTACAGCCCCAGCCCACCAATGGTAGTATTTGTGTGTAAATTTTTAAAAATATTTTTACTTGTAGATGGACACAATACCTTTATTTTATTTATTTATTTTTATGTGGTGCTGAGGATTGAACCCAGCGCCTCACATGTGCTAGGCAAGTGCTCTACCACTGAACCACAACCTCAGCCCTATATGTAGATATTTTGGATGTTAACTTTGTCACTTGATTAAGATCACAATTGCTAGATTTATCCACAATAAAGTTACCCCCACACACTTTCCATGCTGTATTCTTTGGAAGCCAGTGGCTACATCTATCTCACAGGAGGGTGGGACTAGTTTATTTATTTATCTATCTATTTATTTATTTATTTTTATGGGTACTGAGGATCGAACCCAGGGCCTCGCACGTACTAGGTGAGCGCTCTACCACTGACACAACCTCAGCCCCCTGTGTGACCTTTTAATGATGAAAGCTGGATTATATCAAATTTCCTGCTTGTGCTTTTGGATGGCTGCCCACTGTGCGCAGAGTGAGAGGTGAGTCTGTGCCTGGCCTGAGAGATCTTGCCTGGGGCAGGAGGTTGGCAAGTTTGAGGCCAGCCTGGCAATTTAGCAGGACTGTCTCAAATTGAAAAGTCCAAGGGTCTGAGAATGCAGCCCTTTGAGCAACTCTGACTCCTCCTGAAATGCTCCTTCTCCAGAAAAGTCCTCCCAATCCCAAATCTCATTAGACCTCCCTGTGAAGACCCAGTATTTTTCCTCATGTGGCAAATAGTACCTGGTGGTCACTCAAATCCTTTCTCTTCTTCTTTGGTAGTAATGAACTTGCCACTGGACATGTGATACCCATCTACACTTCATTTCAACCCTCCCTTGAGGTTGGTTGGACCATGTGACAAGTTCTCTTTAGTGGAATTTGACTTGGGATGATGTGTGCCACTCTCTGGAGTGGCCCATAGACATTCCTATGCATGCCCTCCATCCCGAGGACAGGAATGACCCTGTTATGGTTAGGATATAAGGTGTCCCCTCAAAAGCTGCTGTTAATATTCAGAGGTGAAATAATCAGAGTATGAAAATGGTAACCTAATCAGTCCACCCTAGTTTGATTGGACTAATTTGGTGACAACTGTAGGCAGGTGGGTGTGCTAGAGAAGCTGGGTTTTTGAGGATGCATGTACACTGGAGGGCTTCGTCTTCTACTTCTTGGCTGCAATGCAACTTTCCTCCACCTTGCTCTTCTGTCATGATGTTCTGCCTTTCCATGGGTCCAGAGCATTGGAGTTGGCCGACCATGGACTGAACCTCTGAAACTGTAAACCCCAAATAAATTTTTCCTCCTTTAAGTTGTTTTTGTCTGATAGTTTGTCAGACAAACAAATAAATAAAATGACCAAAATAAATAAATAACAACAACAAAAAACCCCAGACTACTACAGGCTCCAAACAGATGACCATGGGAGTGGCATGCAAATGGGTACTACTAGGGTGCTTCGATGACAGCATTGGGCAGGCAGCCCCACCAACCTGGACCCCTGGTCTAAACTGCTCTATGAGGGAGAATCACATCTCTGGGGCCTATTTGTTTCTGCAGCTTAGCCTATGCCAATGTGAACCTTCTAGTTCAGTTCACATGTGATCAGTGGCGAGCAGCAAAAGGCTGAAGGAGTAAAGGGAAGGCTTTGAGTCTGAATGGAAGAGTAGGTTTATTATGCCTTTTGTATATTTCAATGACAACCCGAGAGATGTGGAATAAAATATCCACCCTCACAAATGCAGTGCCGGGAACTTTCCCAAGCTTGCAAGAAGCAAGTACGAGAAGCAAAGAGAAGCCTGAGCTCCAGAGGAGCAGCCGGTGAGCCGGGAGGTTGGCAGCCCCAAGGGCTGGTGATGGGTAGAAGCTTGGTGTTTTGTTGTTGTTGTTCTGTTAGTGACTTCAAAGTAGCATTCAGTGGGGGCTGGGATAAGCTCATTGGTAGAGTGCTTGCCCCACATGCACAAGGCCTTGGGTTCAATCCCCAGCACCACAAAATGAGCATTGACGGTCCTCTGCTAGTCACTCTGCAGAGCTCTTGACTGGCACCTGCTCATTTAATTATCACCTCCTTAGGAGGGAGGTGCTGTTAATGTCCTTACTTTATGAGGAGCCCAAAGCATAGAGAAATTAAGTTACTTGTCTTTGATCTCAGGCTGGAAAGAGATTAGAGGTGAGACTGAACCCAGGACATATGGCTTTCTGAGTCAGTGTTCTTAAGGCACCATAAGTCACTACAGTATGCCAGGGTCATAAGTAGAAAGATGAGTAAAAACAGGACCAGCTTTTACCTTGGGAGTGATGGTCCCACATGCCTCCATCAAAACCCACACATCCTGTGTCCCAGCAGGACCCCTGCATTAGACCAGAGAACAGAACTCTGTTCACCATAATTCATTTTCTGGTGCTATAACAAAATACTCAAGACCAGGTGATTTATAAAGATTAGAGATTTATTTAGCTCACAGTTCTGGAAGCTGGGAAGTCCAAGAACCTGGTTTTGGTCTCTGGTCAGGGCTTCTTATCGCATCTTAATGACAGAGGCATCCTATGGTGAGATAGCAAGGTGCATCAGAGAGAGCTCATAACATTATTTGTGTTATGAATAATGGATTAATTCCCCAAGCCCCCACCATACCATTAATAGTTGATTTAGAGAGTTGTTTCCAAAACCTGAATTCCAGGAACACATCCAAACCACAGCGCTCTTCCTTCTGCTTTCCAAGCTGTCAGTAGCCCTGCCAGTTCAGGTCTGTGGGGGAGGAGGTTTAAATTCTTCTTACTCACTACGTTCTTCCCTTCTGAAGAACTGGGAGTTGTAATATTACTACCAGGCTCTGCCCTACAGCACTACAGCCCCCTGTGCTCCACCTATCCTGGGAAGCCTCCTGGGAATCAGCAGGGTAGTGGCTGTCTTGTGGGAATTGGCCACAGGAGCTACTATTAGAAATAAGTTCAGATTTCCCTTTATGGAGCTGCAGTTGTGGCATAGGCAGAGAGGAACAGGGATCAGGAACCCTACATTACAGGTGGAGCATCCCTAATCCCAAAATCTCAAATCCAAAATTTTTTTTTCTTTCTTTTTTTTATTGGTTGTTCAAAACATTACAAGGCTCTTGACATATCATATTTCATACATTAGATTCAAGTGGGTTATGAACTCCCATTTTTACCCCAAATACCAAAATGTTTTAAAATCCGAGACTTTTTGAGCACTGACATATTGCTGCAAGCGGAAAATTCCACATTATAAAACATTGCTTCATGCATAAAATTATGTGAGATATTTTATTAAGGTACCTTTAGACTCTGAATAAATCATATATGAAACATAAATGAATTTCCTGCTTAGGATCAGGTCTCAGCCCAATGTCTCATTATGTATATACAAATATTCCAAAATGGGAAAATTCCCAAATCCAAGACATTTCTGGTCCCAAGCATTTTGGATAAGGTAGATGCAACCCGTATTTCATGTCCTTGGGATCCTCCAGACATGCATCGTTCTTGTGTCATTCTGTGCATAAGTGCCATATATCACAGCATAATCATCACCACCACATAATCATTGTGCCCTGTTTTTGTTTTTTTTTTTTTTTTTGATCCAAAAATTGGTTTATAACTTTTTATTGTGTAATTGTTGCATGGTATGATTTCATTTGCCAGGAACATATAGGTGCATGTTTCTGTTCTCTTGCTCTGTGATCTATGAGTATATTTCCAAAAGCCAACACACCAGGCTTGTTTAGAGTACCTCAGAACTAATGGTGAACGCATCTTACACGTGGCGCTCATGAGGACCTCGTGATACCAAGAACTGTGGTGCAGAACCTTGGAATACAGAAGATTACATTTTGTAAGTCTATAATTTGTAACACTGTAGTAAATTTTCTCAAGAAATATGGTGATATTTCTACTATAACAAATAAGTTACAACTAATGTGTTAACTTTTTTTTTTTTTTCAGACGGGAAAAATGTTCCCTCAACTGTCGGGAAGAAATGATACATGTGAATTTGGACAATTCTATCATTATTTATTTATTTATTTATTTATTTATTTATTTTTTGTGTGCTACTAGGGATCAAACTCAGGGCCTTGTGGCATGCAAGACAAGCACTCTACCAACTGAGCTATATCCCCAGCCCTGGACTATTCTATTTTAATGTATATTCATGAGTATTCTGTGCATCCTAATCTTGCACCAATGACAGTTTACTAATAAACAATTATTAAGTAACACTAGCACAGTTTTTTAAAAGAATTTCAAAAATTCATAAAATCTGCAACAATTATGTGGTGAAATATAGTATTCCCCCACAAACATAGGAAAGAGCCCTCAGATTACAGAAAGATGGCAGTAAGAGAATTCTACAGTGTCCCCGCTTATCAGAGGTATTGCCTTCTATAGTTTCATTACCTGAGATTAACCATGGTCTGAAAATATCAGATGGAACATTCCAGAAGTAAAAATTCACACTTTAAATTGTGTGCTGTTCTGAATCATGTGATGAAATCTTGCCCTGCTCTGCTCCATCCCTCCCTGGACGTGAGTCATCCCCTGTCCAGCTTGTCCACGCGGTAGAGGTGAACTCACAGCTTTGGCCACTTGGTAGCACTCTTGGCCACCAGATGGACCGTCACAGCATTGTAGCACTGGTGTTCAAGTGCTTCTTATTTCACTTAACAATGGCCACCAACGTTCAGGAGTGGGGATGCTGAGGAGGCACCAGGGCACAAAACATGGAGGGACAGATCCGCCATGGTGCCACGAGGCTATACTGCAGGACACATAGGAAAAAAACATTACATATATATTGTGGTTTGGCACAATCTGAGGTCTCAGGTGTCCACTGCGGGGTTTTGGAACAAACCCCATGGATAAAGGAGGAGGACTCTAATTTCTTGCCTCTGCTTGTTGCCTAAAAGGTCACCTGTGCCTTGAATCTCCACAGGGGGGCAGTCACACACTTGCTTCCAGGCTTCCCAAGGGTGAAAGCCTTGGTTTTCAACTTCATTCAGGAGCAAAAGATGAAATCTAGGCTTTGCCAGGGGATAAGTTAGAAATGAGGCCCTGGCACAAAACTAGGGCCCTTGGAGGGTTGCGATCACTTTATAAGAAAGACCAATAAACATCCCCCTGGTTCAAGGAGGTAAGTAGGGAGCTTGACTCAGTGGTGGCTATGGCTGGGAAGAAACAAGATTCCTTGATCTCCAGGCACACAGCCAGGAGCCTAAATCAGCCCATTACGTGGGAAACTCAAGCCGAGAAAGTATCATAGAAATCAATCCCAGGCTGTCTCTCTGCTTTGGGTGCTGCTACGGTCTGAGTGTTGGTGCCTCTCCAAATCCATTTGTTGAAACTTAATCACTATTGGGATGTGTTGGGGGCATGGCATTTGGGAGGTGATTAGAACCAAGGTGGAGACCTCAAGGGTAGGGTGAGACCTGTCCAAGTCTGTTTTCTGTTGCTATAACTGAATGCCACAGATTGAGTAATTTATAGAGAAAACAGGCTTATCGAGTTCACAGTTTGGGAAGCCCAAGAGCATTATGTGGACATCTGCTTATTATCAGAGGGCCCTCTTGATGGGTCATGACATGGTGGAAGACATCACATAGAAATACAGGGCAAACCAGGAGAACTCAGTTTCACAGCAAAGTCGCTCCCATGATAACCGTTAATCCACTAATCTGTTAATCGATCCATTCATGAAGTCAGAGCCCACATGACTGAATCCTCTCTTAAAGACCTCCCAGTGGGGATTCCACATGGGTTTTGGAGGATATGCAAATCATGGCAGTGCCCTCACAAAAGAGGCCTCAGAATGCTTTGCTCCTTCCACCAAGAAGATGCCACCTGTCGACCAAAAAGTGGATTATTGCCAGATACCGAATCTGCTCTCACCTTGATGGTGGACTTCCCTGCCTCCAGACTGTGAGGAATGAATTCCTGTTATTCATAGGCTACCCAGTCTACGGGATTTTGTTACTGCAGCCCGAACAAATTAAGACAGGTGCACGGTGGAAGCAACCATGAGCCGGGAAGGAGGAACAACTCCCTCCTAGCAAGCTCACAGACAAAGGAAGAAACAGCTTCCCGTGAGCCAGAAAGGCTCGCACCTCAAGAACATCCCTTCTGTTATTACCAAACCCAGGTCCAGAAGCTAATCCACCGATAAATCAGTGTCCGAGTGGGGAGGAGGCTTATTCAGAGGCCATGGAATGGAGAAGTGGGGGCTCTGCTCTCAGATCAGCCTCTGTACTCTGGGGGCAGACACAGGTAGGTAGAATGAGGGGGAGGGCCAGGATGACAAACGGAAGGATGTCCCATCTTTCTGGGAACAGGCAGAGATCTTGGCTCAGGTGTCACCACTTACTGCTCCCTTGTTTCTGGTCATGGCGGCTGGTGGCGTCTTTAGCCTTGAAGTGGGAGGAGAGAGGCTGAGCACTCTAGAGGGAGTAAACCTGTATTACAGTTCTGGACTGTTTCATCGCGTCCACATGCAGTGCTGAGTAGAATGTGACCCAAGGTTAAGGCAGCAAAAGTGAGGGACACAATATGAAGACGGAGATGCCAGGCCTGTTCCTCCGGTTCCAGTCACCCACTGGGCATCTGCAGCCCAAGTAAAGAGTCTGCGCAAGTTGAGTCCTTGAAAAGTAACCAAGGCCACTGTTTGTCGACATAACCCATATGTCACATCCGTGTGATCTATGGCAGAGCTAGTTGGGACATTAATACATATTGCCCAGCTCAGTAACCTCCAAAATGAGTGACTTCTAAGTCAATTTCATTCAAGGAAACTAGAGGGTTTATTTAGTTTTTTTTTTCCTGGTAGCATTATGTTTTGAATTTATCCCCCCAAGTTTCAATCCCCAAGGTAACAGTATTGGGGTGGCGGAAACTTTAAGGTGGGGCCTAGCAGGAGATGATTAGGTCATAGGACCTTTGGATGGGATTCATGCCCTTCTCAGGGCAGAGGGTTAAGTCTCATGTGATTGAATTTGTTCTCTCAAGAGAAGACTGTTAAAAAGTGAGGCCACCCCACCCCAGGTGCTTGGTGCTTTCTGCATGCAGTGGATTCCCTTTCTGCATCTCTACCATGTTGTGACAGAGTCAGGAGGCCCTCAACAGACACACCAGTACCATGCTGTTTGGACATTCCACTTAGCAAACTCCTAAGACAAAATAAGCCTCTTTTCTTTATTTATTACCCAGCATTGGGTATTCTGTTATAGCAACACAAAATGGACTTGTAACAATGTCCTTTTCAGCAATTTAATATTATTTCAAGGTTACCTTGTTAAAACCTTACCGGTTATTATTTTTTTTAATATTTATTTTTTAGTTGTATTCAAACACAATATCTCTATTTTATTTATTTTTGTGGTGCTGAGGGTCGAACCCAGGGCCTCTCTCGTGCGAGGCGATTGCTCTACCGCTGAGCCACAACCCCAGCCCCCCCTTACTGGTTATTTAGTGTTGGAATACTATGTTCTAATTTCTTTTTCAAATAAAAATGAGAGAGAACAAATAAGGACAGATTGAAAAAGAACAGTGAAGCAAGACTTGTTGTAGAGAATAAAAATATTCAATGCTGTGACAGTATTGTGTCCATCAGGGGCCAATCAGGAAATAGAATCCACACAGTAATTTGAACATGGAAAGTTTAATATACAGCACTATCACCAGGGGATTGGAATAATGGGGAGTCGACTAGTAAAAGTTAAAGAGAGGGCTGGGACTGTGGCTCAGTGGTAGAGCGCTTGCCTCCTATGTGTGAGGCACTGGGTTCGATCCTCAGCACCACATATAAAAATAAATAAAGTTATTGTGTCCATCTACAACTAAAAAAAATAAAGTAAAAGATGACTCTAAAGACAAAGAAATAGCACCTACAGGAAGCAGCCACCTACAGATAGATAGATTGTCCATCTACAACTAAAAAAAAAAAAGAGTTAAAGAGAACTCTAAAGACAAAGAAATAGCACCTACAGGAAGCAGCCATTACGCTGAGGGCAAAGATAAAGCATACAAGGAAAAGCCTCCCCGAAGACGCGACCCTGAGCTGGTGGAAGGGGGCAAGGCTAAGCACAACGTTTCCTGCGACACTGCAAAGCTACCCAGATATTCCAGGGGCAGCTGCTGGCTGCTGGGCACGACTGGCCACCGTGTGCTCAGGAAGTTGGCAGTGGAGAAACTTTTTCTCATGGCCAGAAGCTACTGTTCGCTGTGCCCCCAGGAGTCTGGTATGGAAAACTTCCTGCCCCAGAGCTGGGCTTTGCAGGCTCTGCCCGAGGAAAACCCTTCCTCCCGAGGCGTCTCTTCGGCGCCCCCTGTTGGCAGGCGCGGCGCAGGGTTTTCAGGAAATGGGCTTCCGAAGGCAGGGGAGCCTGAAGCCAGAGTGAGATCCCCAGCCCAGGCGGGGAATCAAAGCAGGGGAGCCTGAAGCCAGAGTGAGATCCCCAGCCCAGGGGGGGAAATCAAGGCAGGGGAGCCTGAAGCGAGAGTGAGATCCCCAGCCCAGGGGGGGAATCAAGGCAGGGGAGCCTGAAGCAAGAGTCAGATCCCCAGCCCAGGGGGGGAAATCAAGGCAGGGGAGCTTGAAGCAAGAGTCAGATCCCCAGCCCAGGGGGGGGAATCAAGGCAGGGGAGCCTGAAGCAAGAGTCAGATCCCCAACCCAGGGGGGGAATCCGCTCCTGGAGCAAGTGAGTTGCTCGTTGGTCTTCTATGCGAGGCTTCAAAGACGGCTGAGGAAATAAAGTTCCATTTTTAATTGTAAGTACTATTTTTTCAGTGCAGACTCGGTAGTCGATGACTCATGATCTGTTTTGCCCACAGAGATCAGACCGCTGGGATTTGTGAGCGACGTCAGAGTTACAGTAAGAAAGTGGCAGATGACTAGCGGGACCCAGTGGCAGATGAGATCGTGCCAAGATCATTTTCCAGTTGAAGCAGAGCAGGAACATCCCTGCAGCCTTTGGATGAGGCGAAGGTTGGAGACTCACTTGGAGATGCTAGTGGCTCTTTCCTGGACTTCATGTCAAGTAAAGCCTATTGTGTGTCTCTTGCTGTTTCCAGGCCAAGGTCACTGGGAAAAGTAGAGAATCTGGGCCCTAGTGATTGACAGCTCAAGTTAGGAAACAGCAACAACTGCTGAATGCTTACATGACCCCTGGGAGGTGGGGTCGGTTGCAGTGAGGAGGCTCCTGGCTCAGTTTTCTTTCTGAGCGGTATTAGCAC